TACAGTAGGAAGCGACCTGCTAACTGCAGGTACTTTGTTGCACGACTGCCACCCACAGAGGGCGTAACACAATGTTTGAGTCGTCAGTGCCGCGAGAAACAACTACTCCGAGAGCTATTTGCCCCTACCGGCATTGAATTATACTCGCGACACCTAGTACAACAGCCAGGATCGTTTGTTATTAGCTTAACCCACCAGGCACATACCGGTTTTGGACTTATTAGTCCTCATCAGTGTGTCATAGGTGCGACAACCGACAAACGACCCAGCTGTTTCTTCGTCGTATCATCACGAAGAGGAAGTACATTGTACGCGAGAGCCAATGGCTCCATCTGTCGTGCAGACTTCCAACTGTGTCATTCAATTGACTACAGTAGGAAACAGCTGGGTCGTTTGTCGGTTGACACAGCAAATAGCTCTCGGAGTAGTTGTTTCTCGCGACACTGACGACTCAAATGGTGTAATCAGTTTTTGATTTTTTTTTTAAATTAACAAATTATCAACAATTACTGAAAATTTCATTGTTGCTAGTCATTGTTAATTTTTTTTGCATTTTTGAGCATGTTTTTGAACTGCGGTTACAGATTTTTTATTTCACCAAAAAGTATATGTCAAAACGATTTTTCTAAGTAATTTTTTTTTTAAAACTGTTTCAGACCGGAAAAAATTAATGTCTCGGAAATTTCTTGATTTTTTATCTAAAAAAATTATGGTTATTTAAGACACAGAAAGGTGTATTTTCACCAAGTTTCGTCAAAATTAAGTTATTTTAGCGGAAATGAGAAATAAAAAATGAAAAATAAGAAAAAAAAAACTGTTTTTCGCAAATTTCTCGGAAAATTTATCGTAAAAAGTGACCTCTACGAAAGTTGTAGATTTTTGCATAATCTACAACTTTTTCATTGGATACTTTTTTGTTTGACGTCAACTTTCGCCAGAAATCCCAATGATACAATTTTTCACAACTTTTCAACACCCCAAATCAACCCTCCGCCACCTCTGCTCATACATTTATTTCCACTTATAACAGTCCAGGTAACAATTTTCTTTTTTCCCTCTAAATGAGTTATTTCGATCGGTCTAAAAGGCTGTTACTTCGTGAATAATGGTTGTACTGAGAAAAAAAAGCATCTTGGCTTGAAGATTCTAGTTTATATAAAATAATTAATGTTGCCCCGATTTATACCTCTTTCTTTGACACTAATTTGTACTTAACCATTTTTTTAAATACTTATGTGACGCGCCAATCAAATTACTTACTGACACTGTATCCTATATTTTCATTAAATTAGGTAAACAATTAAATCCCGAAAGTGATCTCAGTCATCTAATCTATGTTTTCCATTCCAGATTGCCTGACCCTGAAGGACGTGAAAATAAAAGTCCCATCCGCAGTCGTTCAAGGTCACAAAGCGATACTGAAGTGCATTTTCGACGTTGAGGGCGACAAACTATACTCGGTGAAGTGGTACCGCGGCGCGGGCGAATTTTACCGTTTCACACCTAGCGACAGCAATCCCATCAAGCAATTTAAAATAAAAGGCTTCCACGTGGCGGAGAGCGAGTCGAACTCCACTCAAGTTGTCCTGGAAAACGTCTCCCGGGCCATTAGCGGCCCATTTAGCTGCGAAGTCACTGCGGACCAGCCCAGCTTTTACACTGATATGAAGACTGCTGATTTGGAGGTAATTGTCCGTTACTTTTGCACACTTTTATACAAAAACAATTGACTTTTGTTTTTCTAATTGAAAGACCTTATACTTTTGTCGTTTCTTGTCCTTGTTTCCTCTCTTTTTTCTGTTTACAATGATGTACAGGGTGGGATCTTGAAAGCTAACCAGAGCGAATAACTAAAAAGGGCCCTAAATTTGAACCTTGTAGAACGCCATAAGTAACATTCAATTTTAATGAACTGAAAATTATGGCAAGATGTAGTATTAGGAAAATTATTAGCAAACAAGAGAAATAACAAGGGCCCTAAATTTGAACCTTGTGGAACGTCATAGGTAACTTTGAAACTGAAACCCTTACACTTAACAAACTGTTGTCTTTGTCAAGTACGATTTAAGAAAATGAACAAAATTATTTGATAATTATCAAGCTTAGCAAGTAATATGCATTGATTATAGAGGGTGGTTCTTGAAAACGAAACAGAACGAATAACTATCAGGACAATTATTTTTCCGGAAAACGCCGAGACAGATCAATTTTTGATCGAAGGAGGACATCTTTTCTCATAAATTTTTTGTTACAGACTTTACCCCCTAGGGAGGAGAGGCAACCCCCAAAATCTTAATAAGGAAGGGGAGTTAAGTGATACATCGTTTGAAAGGTATTCTAATTCTCTACACAACCATGTTTTATATTTTTAATTTGACCGAAATTTATGTGAAATGATAAAAAATCGACCTGTCCCTGCATTTTTATGAAAACTTATTTTCCTGAGAGTTCTGTTTCGTTTTCTAGAGTCCACCCTGTATAATCAATGTATATTACTTGCCAAGATTGATAATTATCAAATAATTTCATTCCTTTTCTTAAATCGTACCTGACATTTATGTTTTCAGCCACGAAAATTGAATAATTCAAATTATTTCGAATTTTCACCACCAAGAACGGCGGTGACAACATTTTTAACATTAAGGCGATGTTTCGCATTGTATTAGCTATGTCCTGTCCAAATTGGGTTAGTGCAACTCTCTCAATTTCGAAAATGCAATACCTACAAATGGCAGAAAGACAACAGTTTGTTAAGTGGGTTTCAGTTCATTAAAATTTAATGTTACTTATGGCGTTCCACAAGGTTCATATTTAGGACCCTTGTTATTACTCTTGTTTACTATAGTCTGTTTAGAAATGAAAGAGAGTAATAAAAGCTTATTATGTATGCAAATCGTAAATAAATGTAGTACTGGTGCTTATATTCAATATTTTTATATTATGTATTATCGGTATAGAGGAGGTGTACTTTTAAAAAAACTTTGTGTGACCGAATTGTACTAAATTGTAGCAGGTAGCTAAAATTTAATCCCCGACAATCCGTCTTTGTCTATGCCACTTCAGTTTCTCGGTCCATTTCTCTTATAAGTAAACAA